GAATAAAACTCAAAATCATAAAGAAAAAAAAAGACCAGTTTACTGGTCTGATAGAGCCTGATGAAACCCCCATGACTATGGCCCCTGGTCTGATAGAGCCTGATGAAATCCCCATGACTATGGCCCCTAGTTATCCTTTAGGCCTAGAATTGAACTCACTCCCATGGCTTCCAGCCAAACAATAGACAGGCATATAGGGTGAATATTTACACCAGATAGATACACTCCTTAGAATGAACAACAATGAGAGAAGAGAAGAGTGGTATTTGCACAGGGAGATAGGTCAGGGGGCAGTAATACATATGAAAGAAGAACACAAGGAAGAGGTAACTACAGGGAAGATGTGGAAAGAGAGTTGTTACATTGTGGGGATTTCAGTCAATGTCACGAAACAAAATGTGTATGAATTACTGTATGGAAAATGAATTTGCTCTGTAAACTTTCACCCAAATCATAATAAAAATTTAAAAAAAAGAGTGAGTGAGTGAGCTGGGGTGGCAGTCTTAATATAGATAAGTAGATTTTAAGAAAAATCTGTCACAAGAGATAAAGGTGGATGATATATAGTAATAAAAGGCTTAATTAATCAAGTTTTAACAATCATAAACATATATGTACTCAGTATCAGAACACCTAAATATATAAAGACAACATAGAATAGAGAGAGAAACAGATGGCACTACAATAATAGTTGGAGACTTCAACACATTTCTTTCAATATTGGACAGAACATCTAGAAAGAAGATCAACAAGGAAACAGAGGACCTGAATGACACTATAATCCAACTAAAAAAACAAAAGCCAAACTCACTGCCATCGAGTTGGATCCAACTCACAGCAATCCCTCCTTGGGTTTCCAAGACAGTATCACTACAGAAGTAGATTGCCCAACCTTCCTTCGGAGGAGTGGCCGGTGGGTTTGAACTGCCAGCCTTCTGGTTAGCAGTCAAATAAATGCCTTAGGCACTATACCACCAGAGCTCCTATAAACCAACTAGACTTAACAAATATATACAATGTACTCCACCCAGCAGTACAATATACATTCTATGCCAGTGCAAATGGACCATATGTCTGATCACAAAGCAAGTCTTGATAAATTTTGAAAGACTGAAATCATACAAAGTATTTTCTCTAACCACAGAGTAGGAGGACTCAGACCTCCTGATTTTAAAACATACTGTACAACTACAGTAATCAAAATATCATTAGTTATCAGAGAGATGCAAATCAAAACCACTATGAGATACTATCTTATCCCCACTAGGATGGCTAAGCTAAAAAAGAGGGAAAAAAAATTGTTGGGGAAGGTGTGGAGAAATTGGAACCCTTATCCATTGCTGATGGGAATGCAAAACAGCACAGCCATTGTGAAGAACAATCTGGGGATAACTCAAAAAACTAAAAACAGAACTACCATATGACCCATCAATCCCACTCCTAGGTATACAACCAAAAGATTTAAAAGCAGAGACTCAAACAGAGACTTATACACCAATTCCTTGCAGCACTATTCACAATAGCCAGAAAGTGGAAACAACCTAAATACTCACCAACAGACGAATGGATAAACAAAATGTGCTACACACATACAATGGAACTCTACTCAGCCAGCAGAAGAAATGAAGACTTGATACATGCTACAATATGGATGGAACTGGAAGACATTATCTGAGTGAAATAAGTCTATCACAAAAGGAAACACATTGTATGAATGACCTCACTGATATAAAAATACAAGAAAAAGCAAATGTATAGAGACTGAAGTTTATTAGTGGTTACTAGGGGCTGGCAGGGGAGCTCTGGTAGCATAGTGGCTAAATCACTTGACTGCTAACCAGAAGGCTGGCGGTTCAAACCCACCAGCCACTCCTCGGAAGGAAGGTTGGGCAATCCTACTTCCGTAGTGATACTGCCTCGGAAACCCAAGGAGGGGTCGCTATGAGTCGGGGCTGACTCGATGGCACATAACAACAACAACAACAACAGGGGCTGGCAGCGTAGTGCCTAAGGCATTTGACTGCTAACCAGAAGGCTGGTGGTTCAAACCCACCAGCCACTGCTTGGAAGAAAGGTTGGGCAATCTACTTCCATAGTGATACTGCTTCAGAATCCCAAGGAGGGGTCGCTATGAGTCAGATCCAACTTGACGGCAGTAAGTTTGTTTTTTTTCTTTAAGGGCTGGAGGGAGGGAAAAAAGGAGGTTAACAGTGATGGAAAATCACATTGATTAAGGGTAGGGTCGCATAGCTGATTATTGAAAGTGCTGCCAAAAAGTTGTACACCTCTAGAAAGTTGAACCGGCAAAAAGAGTGAACTGCTGAGGCTTCTTATGTACAACCAAAAAAATCATAAGATTTCATTCCTTGGTTTGGAGATTTACAGTCATGGTTTCATGAGACATCCCAGTTAATTGGCCTAATAACATGTTTAGTGCTTCTGTTCTATCTCCTAGCTTGTTGTGTAGTTCCTAGGATCTTAAAAGCTTGCAAGAAGCCATCCAAGGCATGATAATTGGTCTCTAGTCACCTGGACCAACAGAGGAAGAAGAAGAGACAGGAACAGGAGGAGGATATGGAATGTGTGGCTAATTGCCTCCATGAACAACTGCCTCCTTTTTCATGAGACCAGAACTAGATGGTGCCCAAATACTATGGCTGAACATTTTGATCAAAGATTCTATAAAAGAATCCTGATGACAAGGGAGAACAAAATTTCAAATTCTCATGGACTCTAGACTTTCTGGAGCCATGGGGGTTGGATGAGCCCCTGAAACTATTGCTCTGGGATAGTCTTTAAAACTGAAACCAAATATTCCTCGAAGTCTTCTTATAACTAAACAGTAGCTTTGTTTAACTAGTAAAAATGTCTGTGTTGAGCATTATGTTCTTTTAAGAACTATTTAAATTTGGAATCAAGTGACAACAGCAGCTCAAAAAATAAGATAGAAACTTAGGTGGAAGTCAGGTTATTTACTGGGGGAGGAGTAACTCAGAAAAGGAGGATGAGAATGGTTGCATAACTTGAAAAATGTACTCAATGTCACTGAACTGACGTGTAGAAACTATTGGTGTAATGTTTTTGCTGTGTATGTTCTCAACAACAACAAAATAAAATTTTAACAATATTTATGTCTCAGTTATTTATGGTGACATGAATAGAATTTAAAATCGGTCATACAAATTATAATTGTGGGTTAAAAAAATGATAGGAAGTGAGTGAAAATATGTTTATATAGGACTTACTTCCACTCCATTTCAGCAGAAGACTTACCTTCTCTATCTTGAATGTTGAGCAGGTCTGATTAAACTTGCTTGCCACAGTGTTGTATTCTGGATGATTAGGCGGTAGTAGCACCAAACAGGAAGTCTGTTGCTTCATATCACTCCAATTCATAGGGATCTCCACTGCAAGGCAGACATTTGAGGACTCCCTCAAACAGAGAAGGCTCATCTACATATCCCGCATTCCTGGTATTCTTTGAAAAACTGAGTATCATCTGTGTTCTTGCTTTAAAAGCTCCTAATTCCACTTACTGAAGAAGTTCCTTATCTTTGTAGGAGAATGTTTTCCAAAACGTGGACCACAAACATCGATACCAGAACTAAAAGAAATGCTTGTTTAAAAAAATAAAGAAATAGCCCCCCAGATCTATTGAATCAGAATCGTATCTCCATCTTAACAAGATTGGATCATGCTAAGATTTGAGAAATGCTGGTGTAGTATAACTCAGCTGCATATTCTGTTTGGTATCTAATGGTCATAATTTAATGGCAGAAATTATTTCCCTACAATGTTTTAAATATCATTTTGCTTATAGTAACTTGAGCTTTTGCCAGAACTTACCACTACCACCACAATCTATTTGTTCATTATTTTTCACTATGTCTGTAAGAGTTGTATGACTGACAGCTTGTGGTGGCAGCTCTGTCCTCTCCTCTGGTAAGCAGGACATTAGAATTGTCATTTCCCTAGGACTTCTCAGAGTCTGAGGAATTAGTTCCCACTGAAATCCTAAGAGCTGCGTATAGTATACTGGAAGCCAATTGACTAGTTTTCAATGAGGTTCGAAAGGAAGAATGGCTGTCTACACAAGATAGGCATTTCTGTCCTGGGGAGTAGATCCAGTCAGAGAATCAGAAGGCTGTCATGGAACTTTACGCCCAGGGCAGAGGTGACTTCTGGGAGAAGTTCCCACAGGCTCCTGATCCTCCCTGGGTTATCCACCAGTCACAGACGAGAGAGTACCCACTCCTTGACCAGCCTTTTCTCTCCATTTCCTGCCCTTTTGCCCTTTTCTTCTTCTAGAAGATGATGGACTGCTATTCTTGTAAGCCTATGGCTTTCTCTCCCCTGACTGAAACAGTTATTACCTCCCCAGCAGAACTGAGTCTGAGAAGCTTGTAGACCATAGAGATGGGAACAACTTGGCTGGGCCTGGTTTTGAGTGGCTAGGCAGCTGGATGTAGTTATTCCCCATGGTGAGACTGGTAATCAACTCCACGGTGGAATCTACTGGAGCAGCTGAGTAGCTGGTCTGTTTCCAGTATATAAGAAGCATTATTGAGAAAGGTCTCCAGAGCTTTTTGGCT